ATTCCACTCGTTCTCAGAGATAGGCACGATTGCAACTCAGATCAAGAAGCCTTCTGAGCGTTGATCAATGCTGGGAACACAATAATAAGTGGGTAAATGATCATTAACAAAATACAAAAGGTGAGTCAACACTATTTCACAAATAAAAAGGTACGTAAACATCCATGATATCACAATTATAGTTTTAACCATGTTTTGAGGTTATACAGAGTTTGTTTACCTTTACATTGTTTACAAACATTGGAGTAAAACAATCTTATATATGTTTTGGGTTCTGATGAGATACGAAAGTTGAACTAAGCTCATGAGGCATTTATAAGTCCAAAAATGGATGTAGCAAAAATAATTCTAGCTTTAATAATAGTAGTTGGCTTTGTTCAGCCAGAAAAAAACAAAGACTGCATCTGAAATAGCACCCTTGTAGTGCAATGTAGGGGACAGGCCACAGGATGCCATTTCAGACGCATGCAAAGTCTAACCATTTCTGGAACATGTAAGAGGGCGTGGAAGAGATTGGTTTATTTTCATGCCAAAAACCAATCCTTGTTAATAAGATGAGGCCACTGGTTATCTGCTTCAATTTCCTGCAGGATACTTATTCAATACAGCATCAAGCCACTGGCTTTTAAATGGCAAGGCATGACTGTGTGTGACTGTGTGTGTGTGTGCCAGCTGAGACTCATCCTGTCCATAGATTGAGCGGTAGAGAGATAGGCATGTGTATGATGGCAGGCAAAACCAATTACACACATAATCGCATGGGAAAAGAAGATTATGGTTCAAGTGTATGAGAACAAGGAGTCGAGAACAGATCAACATGTTTCAGGGGGTTAAATGTGGATTGGGTTGGGAGTGGGGAGGATTTCTCTACTAATCAAAAATAGATGGCAGTTGTATGAAGTGATGGTTGGATTGGTACGGGACAATTTGTTATCAAATCATTACGTTGGATGGAATAGGGTTAGGGAAGGTCACGGCTGGATGGACACTCTTCCATGGTATTTCCAATGAGAGATTTTACCCACAACTGACGACCCTTTAGAACTATGTGGTAAAGTAATAAAATGCTTCAAAACATTACATCATGGTATTTGTATCGAGAATACTGAATGAGGTGGACACACTAACCTCTCTTCCGCCTCTGTCGGGTCGCTGCGCCCCACAGCACCCTGGGTAGTGGTGTGTGTGTTCACAAGACCTCTTAAAATGGGACTGTAACTAGAATGACCCTCTCCACTTCCTTTTTGCCTTTTCTGCGTGATCACAGCTGGACTACTGGGCTCAGGTCCATGTGTTGTTTTAAAGATTCCTCAATAACAGCTGGATCACAAGTAGAAAAGACTAGTCCTTGTGTGGAGGGCATATTTAAGTGTGTGTGGCGTGTGTACAGTAAGTGCATATGGTCTGAATCCTGGGATTACCACACTAAGCTTTGCCAGGGTGGCCCGGCGACGGAAGAGTTGTGGTACCCTGGCAGAGTAGGCCTATACTGAACAAAGGGCACACACACACACACTAGTACCCAGGGTGCTGTGGGGCACAGTGACCCGAGAGGGAGAAAGAGATAGGAAGTTTATTTCCAGCAGAGTGGCTGGCTGCAACGTGGTGCTGCTGAACCATGACTAACAGCCAACTGTGAAGAACTACTGCCTGTCTGCCTGGGGGCCCCAACTGTGCCACAGAATTGCAGAGCTCTCTCACAGGAGGGATGCAAGTGTGTGTGTGTGTGTGCGTGTGTGTGTGTCAGAGCGTGAGAGTGAAACAGCAGGGCCAGAAGGCATGAGCCCTGTGCAGGAGACACAGCTCTTCAAAATGAACGGCACAGCACAGTGACAGCAACATTACAGTCCAAAAAGCAATCAATCTATATTATTGCTTAGGTATACCACGGCAACACATGTTCTTATATGTCCCCATCTAAGGAATATCTTCAAGTTATAGTAATGAATAACAAAGGCAAAGGACATGATCTTGGGCTGGGGGCCGATACTTTACATTGCATCACATCACTAACCGTTAAGGTTAGGCTATAGGTTGCATGACAAGTTCAGCAGGTCTGTGGCTAACTGAATCCAGGACTTGCAGAGACAAGTCAACACCACAGCAGGAATGGATCCGGAGGTCGAGTGACACATTGGTTAATAATAGTAGTTGGATTTGTTCAGCCAGAAACAAAACAAAGGCTGGGTCTGAAATAGCACCCTAGCAGTGCACCATAGGGAATAGGCCACAGGGATAGGGACCATAGGGAATAGGCCACAGGGATAGGGACCATAGGGAATAGGCCACAGGGATAGGGACCATAGGGAATAGGCCACAGGGATAGGGACCATAGGGAATAGGCCACAGGGATAGGGACCATAGGGAATAGGCCACAGGGATAGGGACCATAGGGAATAGGCCACAGGGATAGGGACCATAGGGAATAGGCCACAGGGATAGGGACCATAGGGAATAGGCCACAGGGATAGGGACCATAGGGAATAGGCCACAGGGATAGGGACCATAGGGAATAGGCCACAGGGATAGGGACCATAGGGAATAGGCCACAGGGATAGGGACCATAGGGAATAGGCCACAGGGATAGGGACCATAGGGAATAGGCCACAGGGATAGGGACCATAGGGAATAGGCCACAGGGATAGGGACCATAGGGAATAGGCCACAGGGTGCCATTTCAGACGCATCCAGAGTGAAACAATTTGTGGAACATGTAAGAGGACGTGGAAGAGATTGGTTCAACGTTTGGTCTATTTTAGGGTCTGAGACCAATGCTTGTTAATAGGATGAGGACACTGGTTCTCTGATTCAATTTCCTGTAGAATCCTTATTCAATAAATACAGCATCAAGGTTTAGTCCTGGGTCATGGCCACTGGCTTTTAACCAAGGCATGTGTGTGACGGTTTGTGTGTGTTTTTGTGTGTGTGTGTGTGTACCAGCTGAGAATCATCCTGTCCATAGATTGAGCGGTAGAGAGATAGGCATATGTATGATGGCAGGCAAAACCAAATTAAACACATAATCACATGGGAAGTGAAGATTATGGTTGATGAAATAGGCAAGTGCATGAGAACGAGGAGTCGAGAACAGATCAACATGTTTCAGGAGGGTTAAATGTGGGGAGGATTTCTCTACTAATCAAAAATGGATGGGAGGGTGTATGAAGTGATGGTTGGATTGGTACGGGGCGGGATGTTATCAAATCATTACGTTGGATGGAATAGGGTTAGGGAAGGTCACGGCTGGATGGACACACTTCCATGGTATTTCCAATGAGAGATTTTACCCACAACTGACGACCCTTTAGAACTAAGTGATAAAGTAATACAATTCTTCAAAACATTACATCATGACTCATTACATAAGAAACGTATCCTTTTTGATCCTCCCATTGCATTCTATCCTTGACTCCCATCTCTGTAGCTTCACATCCCGGCTTAACCACTAACTGCTCCATTGACTCTGAATGGGAAGACATCCCAAAGGGGCTTCTAATCGGCTGTAAATGAGCCAGGTAGCGGTGTGTGTGTGTGTGTGTGTGCGTGTGCGTGCGTGCGTGTGTGTGTGTGTCAGACACCACAGAGTAGACTAGGCATAAAACTATGAGCTCATCCTCCCCAAACAGCCATTGCCATGGCAGCACAGCTCCAGGTAACACACTTGATATACCTGTCTCCTGTCCTCTGCACCTCCCGACTGCCGCCCAACTGACTCAAGCCACGCCCATTTCAGAGGCAGGTGGATATTCAAGTGTGTGTGTGTGTGATACTGTGGGACTCAATTCTTCAGGATACAGAGAATACTGATAATCTTACAGGAAATGAATCCAATTACTTTTGTATCTTCCTTCAATGTTTACCTTCGTGTATTATTTTTCCATTCGACCACAGAACAAACACTGGGCCCTTTTACACTGAATGAACCAGCCTCTCTCTCTAAATGTTATCTGTGTAACCTGATCTGTAGTAGATTCAAATAAGAGGATTGTTTAAAGAGAGAGGCCTTATTCGCTAGAGTCATTTACACCCTCATCGCCAAAGAGTAGACTCACCCAGTAGACAGAGGACTGAGAGTGGGTGACACACCCACACACTCAAAATCATATTTACAGTCCTGACTGAACAACCCAAACACAATTTCAATGTTTATTTCCCTTCAGTAAATAATAAACCTCCCACCATGCAATGTACACAATCCTTAGCAGTTATGAAAAAGCCCTTCTGGGATATGGGTGTCTGATTTGATCCTTACTCTGCTGAAGTAGTGTAACTAACATCCAGCACCTTTGAAGATACAATCAGACACACAGTCACACTACCTGCCCCTGAAGTGAGCAAATAGGCTAACAGTCGGAAAACCAACACTGAACATGTCTAACGGCACAGTGACACAAACTGCTGTAAAAGTGCATAAATGGATAGTTTGGGATTGATCTACTTGTGGATACCCTTTTTATGTCTCTGCGTCCAGTATGAAGAAAGTTAGAGGTAGTTTCACGGGCCAATGCTAACTAGCGTTACCGCAATGACTAGCAGTCTATGGGAACAGCTTAGCGCAATGACTGGAGGTCTACAGGAATAGCTAGCATGCTAGCTGTTACCATAGACTTCTAGTCATTGCGCTAACGCTAGTTAGCAATTGCGCTAACGCTAGTTAGCAACTTCCTTCAAACTGCCCGCAGAGATATGAAAATGGTATCCACAGGTTAATCTGACTCTGGGGAAGTGGATAAAGGGCTTAATTGCCAAAATCCTGAACTATCCCTTTAACTACCTAACTCCATGATTCTACAGTCAGATAAGAGGCTAATTAAAAATTACAAAATGTATCTTATCTAATTATCCCCAGTGGATGATAAGATCCTGAGGCCCATCCCTCCATACTCAGCGTGGAAAAACAAGGGAGTCGGCGAAAGAGAGGAGAAGGGGGAGAGCAGCTGGTGCGTGGTGGGAGGGGGAGAGAGAGAGTCTCTCTCTCTCTCATTAGTAGTGGTTAGAGGTCACGTTCCGTCAGAGGCTCCATTGCCTGTGAGTGGACACACACACACACACACACACACACACACACACACACACAGGCAAGGCCAGGCAAAGCCAGGCAGGGCTCCCGGGGCAGAGGCAAAGTCTGGCCACAGTGTAGGGGATAAGAGAAAGAGGAAAGGAGAGAGGAAAGGAGAGAGGAAAGGAGAGGTGATGTCATGGCAGGGTGTGAACTGTGGATGAGGTGGGGACTGGGGACTGGGGAGGGAGGGGCTGGAACAGAGGTGCGAGGTCATGAGGTCATGAGAACGGCAGGATGTTTGCACAGGGGATGGCAGGGACAGACATTGAACAAAATACGCAGGGGCACGTTTATGAACATTGGACACACATGCACACACACACACACACAAAACTAGGGCTTCCCTATGCAAACCAGCTGGCCCAAATAGGCAAACACATCTACACAAACTCACAGCACACACACCTCTACTCAAACACACACTCACACGTGAAAGCATGTCAACACAAAAGTGATTACTCCACCCCAACACCGACTTGTGTGTCATTGACAAACACACAAACTCCCACACAAAACAAACACACAGCCATGATGCCACACCATGGGGCCTTGCTTTAGCCTATTAGTGAGGGTGTGGCCACCCAGGATAGGATGGGGAAACACAGTGCATTGTTGAATATGATCTGGGGCTGCAGTCGGGACAATAAGGGCCATTGTGCTGCTATGGCCAGAACCTCATCATCAGCATAATCCCCTTTAAAGGCCCCCCCCACCACCATCACACTCACACAGTCACACTGTGCTACTGGGAGTGGGACACAGACAGCCAGCATGGACACCGCATGGAGACACTGTCTGACAGTGGCCAGTAAGAAAACAGTGCATGGACTGTCGACCCGTAAGAGCCGAGATCAAAGATAGTGACGGCCAATAGGGACATCAAATGGGGGAAGTCAGTGACAGCCGGTAAGGACACTGTCCTGAGCGTGTGACTGTCTCAGTTAACAAGAAAAGTTCTGCTGATAAGAGTCAATAAGGAAATACCATTCTCCTATAAATCTTGAGAGCACAAGGCCTATTCCTTTGAAATACAAAAGAAAAAGAATCGAAGACGTAGCCTAAGCAACTCAATTGTGAACAGCATGGCTCTCATCGTCTCTGGTAGCATGGAGTTTAATGCATTAGCTAGTGTGTGTCTGCCTACATCCCTTTAACTACCTGAACTATCCCTTTAACTACCTAACTCCATGATTCTACATTCAGATAAGAGGCAAATAAAAAATTACAAAATGTATCTTATCTAATTATTACTACAAGACCATGGTGCTTGCCTATGGAGCTGTGAGGGGAACGGCACCTCCGTACCTTCAGGCTCTGATCAGTCCCTACACCCAAACGAGGGCATTGCGTTCATCCACCTCTGGCCTGCTGGCCCCCCTACCTCTGCGGAAGCACAGTTCCCGCTCAGCCCAGTCAAAACTGTTCGCTGCTCTGGCACCCCAATGGTGGAACAAGCTCCCTCACGACGCCAGGACAGCGGAGACACTCACCACCTTCCGGAGACACTTGAAACCCCACCTCTTTAAGGAATACCTGGGATAGGATAAAGTAATCCTTCTACCCCCCCTTACCCCACCCCAAAGAAAATAAAAATAAAAACATATTGTAAAGTGGTTATCCCACTGGCTATAAGGTGAATGCACCAATTTGTAAGTCGCTCTGGATAAGAGCGTCTGCTAAATGACGTAAATGTAAATGTAAATGTACATGGCCACAGGGCCTTGGCTTGCTGAGAAAGCCTGAGATATGTGCATAACTGTCTCATTACATCATGCAGCTATTTAGGTGAACAATCTGTTTGCATTACCCTGAGTGTCTGTCTCTAGTGGGTGTGTGAACATGCAAAACTGGAAAAAAGGCTACATTAATGTCTGTTCAGCGATATTCAATCCAACGTTCTCCTATGTAAAACTTCTGCTATCACAAACTAACATCCCACTAGTTACAATAAAGTTACATCCCTGTGTGCCCCCCCAATACTTGTTGCCATCTACTACAGTGAAGTTAGAAACATCCCTGTGCCCCGCTCCATTCTGGTTCCTACCTGACCTTTAGGGAGGAAGTGTGACGCAGTTTGGGTTCAGATTCCTACTCGGCTTGCTTTGTATCAGTCTTCCTGTGTGTGTGGGGAACAAAAGGCGTGCTGTGAGGAAGCTAAAGCCCCCCACCACTGAAGACCATGGAGTCTGATTATGACAGACTTTATCAACTGCCAGGCCAGCAGAGGCCTTCAGTTCAGACCATGACAGTCGAGACACCAGACCAGTGTATGTGTTGGCTGAGGGGATAATGGCTCCCTGTCTGTGCCCCCAAACCAGAGTTCCCACTACGTCACTGTGGCCCCACTGTGGCTTGAGTCAGTCCCCCAAGCGTGCCTTCTCTTTTCCTCTCTCAGCTGTGCTCTCCTCCATTGTGTGTGAACCTGCTGAGGGTTTGGAGAGGGCAAAACAACCCCCTGAAAAGCTGAAATGTCAACATGTTCACGAGAGAGAGGTGGCTCCCTCCTGCCTGGTACTGCTTTCTAGTAGTATCTTGTACTGTAGCTATACAAATAGTTGGCTACTGTGCCAAGTCTGGAATCGTAAGCCAGTTAGGCCTATTTGGGAGCAGAAGTTTTAAGTTCCACCAAACAAGAGAAGTTGGAATGGGTGTGAAAACGTGAATGAATAAATCAGCCCTGATAAGAGATAGTTTGATAAAAGATGAAATGTTAAATAGTACAGCAAACCCATGTGGCAAGCAGTGTGACTTGACGACATCATCTAGTTAGTAAAGAAGGGTGAAGTAACTTACTAACCCAGTACAGGGCTTTAACAACAGTCAGATGAGAAGCAGCATTTAAACAGGATGCATTATTCAACACACTTCTTGCCTTATATACTACGAACTAATATTGAGGTTTTGCTCGCCTGAGGTAGAGTATCTCATCATAAGCTGTAGACCACACTATTTACCAAGAGAGTTTATCTATATTTTTCGTAGCTGTCTATCTACCACCACAAACCGATGCTGGCGCTAAGACCGCACTCAACGAGCTGTATAAGGCCATAAGCAAAAAAGAAAATGCTCATCCAGAGGCGGCGCTCCTAGTGGCCGGGGACTTTAATGCAGGGAAACTTAAATCCGTTTTACCTCATTTCTACCAGCATGTTAAATGTGCAACCAGAGGAAAAAAACTCTAGACCACCTTTACTCCACACACAGAGACACGTACAAAGCTCTCCCTCGCCCTCCATTTGGCAAATCTGACCATAATTCTATCCTTCTGATTCCTGCTTACAAGCAAAAACTAAAGCAGGTAGTACCAGTGACTCGCTCAATACAGAAGTGGTCAGATGACGTGGATGCTACGCTACAGGACTGTTTTGCTAGCACAGACTGGAATATGTTCCGGGATTCTTCCGATGGCATTGAGGGGTACACCACATCAGTCACTGGCTTCATCAATAAGTGCATCAATGACGTCGTCCCCACAGTGACCGTATGTACATACCCCAACCAGAAGCCATGGATTACAGGCAACATCTGCACTGAGCTAAAGGGTAGAGCTGCCGCTTTCAAGGAGCGGGACTCTCACCCGGACACTTACAAGAAATACCACTATGCCCTCCGACGAACCATCAAACAGGCAAAGCATCAATACAGGATTAAGATTGAATCGTACTACACCGGCTCCGACACTCGTCGGATGTGGCAGGGCTTGCAAACTATTACGGACTACAAAGGGAAGCACAGCCGCGAGCTGCCCAGTGACACGAGCCTACCAGACGAGCTAAATTACTTCTATGCTCACTTCGAGGCAAGCAACACTAAAGCATGCATGAGAGCATCAGCTGTTCCGGACGACTGTGTGATCACGCTCTCCGTAGCCGATGTGAGTAAGACCTTTAAACAGGTCAACATACTCCGAGCATGCGCTGACCATCTGGCAAGTGTCTTCACTGACATTTTCAACATGTCCCTGACGGAGTCTGTAATACTAACATGTTTCAAGCAGACCACCAAAGTCCCTGTGCCTAAGAACACTAAGGTAACCTGCCTAAATGACTACCGACCCGTAGCACTCATGTCTGTAGCCATGAAGTGCTTTGAAAGGCTGGTCATGGCTCACATCAACACCATTATCCCAGAAACCCTAGACCCACTCCAATTTGCATACCGCCCCAACAGATCCACAGATGATGCAATCTATATTGCACTCCACACTGCCCTTTCCCACCTTGACAAAAGGAACACCTACGTGAGAATGCTATTCATTGACTACAGCTCAGCGTTCAACACCATAGTGCCCTCAAAGCTCATCACTAAGCTAAGGACCCTGGGACTAAACACCTCCCTCTGCAACTGGATCCTGGACTTCCTGACGGGCCGCCCCCCAGGTGGTAAGGGTAGGTAACAACACATCTGCCACACTGATCCTCAACACGGGGGCCCCTCAGGGGTGCGTGCTCATTCCCCTCCTGTACTCCCTGTTCACCCATGACTGCATGGCCAAGCACGACTTCAACACCATCATTAAGTTTGCCAACAACACAACAAGTGGTAGGCCTGATCACTGACAACGATGAGACAGCCTATAGGGAGGAGGTCAGAGACATGACCGTGTGGTGCCAGGATAACAACCTCTCCCTCAACGTGACCAAGACAAAGGAGATGATTGTGGACTACAGGAAAAGGAGGACCGCGCACGCCCCCATTCTCATCGACAGGGCTGTAGTGGAACAGGTTGAGCGCTTCAAGTTCCTTGGTGTCCACATCACCAACAAACTATCATGTTCCAAACACACCAAGACAGTCGTGAAGAGGGCACGACAAAGCCTATTCCCCCTCAGGAGACTTCCTGCCATCCAGGACCTCTATACCAGGTGGTGTCAGAGGAAGGCCCTAAAAATTGCCAAAGACTCCAGCCACCCTTGTCATGGACTGTTCTCTCTGCTACCGCATGGCGAGCGGTACCGGAGCGCCAAGTCTAGGTCCAAAAGGCTTCTTAACAGCTTCTACCCCCAAGCCATAAGACTCCTGAACAGCTAATCAAATGGCTACCCGGACTATTTGCATTGTCCCCTCCCCCCCTATTTTTACGCTGCTGCTACTCTCTGTTTATTATCTATGCATAGTCACTCTACCTCTACCCACATGTACATATTACCTCAATTACCTCGACTAACCTGTGCCCCCGCACATTGACTCTGTACCGGTACCCCCGTATATAGCCTCACTACTGTTATTTTACTGCTGCATTTTAATTATTTGTTATTTTTCTATTTTTCTTATTTATTTTTTTTTACTTTTTTTTACTTAACACTTATTTTTCTTAAAACTGCATTGTTGGTTAAGGGCTTGTAAGTAAGCATTTCACTGTAAGGTCTACACCTGTTGTATTCGGCGCATGTGACAAATACAATTTGATTTGATCAGAGTTGGGTTCATGACTTGCTGACACACACAAGGGAAATGCTGAGGTAAAAAGGGGGCTGACTGCTGACTTGTCACTAGACTAGAGCAGAGGCAAGAGGAACTTCTGTAGCCTACAACTGTACCCACTGTTAGGATATTTTCAGAGTGTCTTTGTGAGTGGTGGTGGCACCTGTGCTGAGCTGTTCATAACCTCCACTGTAAAGAACATTAGTCTTGATGTTCAAATACATTGGCCATTACACCTACTATGATCTTAAATGTAAAATACTATATAAGGATACAGTCAAGTAGGCTAATTGCTTTTCATATTTCATATTCTCCTTGTAATATTCTTCTAAGTCCTTGTTATAGTCGAAACGCATTACTCAAGCTGTCAGAAATGAGCAATAATTCTTCAAACGTTTTTTTCCCTCTTGAAAAGGATAAATTCCAAAAAGGTTGGGAGCCTTGTGACTGCTATTGGTTCTTCTCAGACTCAAGATGGTTCTGAGAACTGGTGAGGTCCACTGGGATGTGTGTGTGTTTATCTGTGTGTGTGTGTGTGTGTGTGTGTGTGTGTGTGTGTGTGTGTGTGTGTGTGTGTGTGTGTGTGTGTGTGTGTGTGTGTGTATGTGTGTGTGTGTGTGTGTGTGTGTGTGTGTGTGTATGTGTGTGTATGTGTGTGTGTATGTGTGTCAAACACCCGCCTGCCCGGCCAGGAGCTCTTCCCATATCCATTTGGCTGCGATGAGGAACCAATGAGGAAACATGCCACGGTGACAACGCAGGACGCCACAAGTGTCTTGACAAAATACAGAGCATAAAGAGCATAATGCATCGTCTTAGAGAAATTATTATTTGGAATTAGAAAATAGAATACCACATTGAGTTTCTAATGATGTCGAATGGAAGATACCCCCAGGTATACATTGTAGCACCGCTGTTATTACACTGTAACAGCAATTTTACATTTTAGTCATTTAGCAGACGCTCTTATCCAGAGCGACTTACAGTTTGTGAGGGCATACATTTTTCATACTGGCCCCCCGTGGGAAACGAACCCACAACCCTGGCGATGCAAGCGCCATGGTCTACCAACTGAGCTACAGGGGACACTTACTTGCATCGAGTCATTCGCCATCGTTTTTCTAGCAGGCTTTGTGTGGTCGTGTTCCAGTGATGAAGCCGTTCTAGACCAGACCAACTAGACTGGACACATGCGATTGCCCGGCGAGTCCTCACAATGGTCTTCTCCACGAATTTAGGCAGGTAGATTGTCAAGTCATCCACATTTCGCGCAAATATGCGCTCTGTCCAAAAACTCACCACTATATTCTCTGAGATAAATTAACTTTTAAAAACTATTCTCAGTCAATGGTCAAAGATAATCCCATTGTTGTGTCGCCTCAATGCACCACTGCCCAAAGAAGCTGGTGATCCCAAAATGTTTGTCTAGTTTCAACAAAAGGTTCGTTCAACAAATACAAAATGTTCCCGGGTGTGTCTTTAAAATATCAGCAGGGTAAAAGCCTAAAACAAAACTGTTTGATTCAGTTCATTGTTATTTTCTTTGGAGGCTAGCTATCAACAGCTAGAGCACAAGGGGAACAAACGGCACGACTCCCTCCCTATCCGCATAACAGACTCCGAAGAGGGATAGAGATCCATTGCTAACATACAACGCTACAGAGGCAAAAAAAACTGTAACATCCGTGAAACATGATCAAGCGTCCGTCTCCCAGTATCACATGCCACAAAAGCCTTCTTTTAATCCGCTTTGAGCCATTTTGCGTTACAAACGGACTACCTTATATTACCGAATGACCGAAGAGTGTCACCGGTAAAAGCGTTGTTGTTTGCTATTCGTTTGGTTTTGGAGGGCAGAGGAATATCGCCTTGTCTGTCCGCGCATTGCCGATGATGGCTTGAGCGGGAGGCTACACTTTTTTTTTCTGGTGGAGCTGCGCGCGGTTGCGCTGGCGCAATGTGTATGGTAGGTAGCAGGAGCGCGCCCAATGTATCATGTGACCATGTCCAGACCATGGATTTGTCATTTCCATCTTCTCCTAATGAACAAACTGTTGCTTATCTCTTTCCCCTATTCCAGATTTTCTATTTCGCCACACACAAAACAACTGCTATTGTTATTACTCTGCTTACAAGTAATAATGTGCCCATACAATCACAACCACAAGATTGTAAATGGAGTACAGTTACAGTAGAATAAAAAGTATATGACTGTACAGCATTTAATATCAGAAATCTACAAGTTAAACTCATTATCTAATATTGAAAGCAAGCCCAAATATATAGTGGATACATACTAGCCTACATTAAGCAAATGCCACTTTTCTAAAGTCTACAAGCCATTAGGTCAATACATAACAATAGTACCAAAGACTAACTGAGGTACAGTGTTGTGCAGAAGAGGTGTGTGAGTGTGAGAGAGAGAGGAGAGACAGAGAGAGAGAGAGAGAGAGAGAGAGAGAGAGAGGAGAAGGAGAGAGAGAGGAGGGAGAGGATGAGAGAGAGAGGAGAGAGGAGAAGAGAGGAGAAGAGAGAGAGAGAGGAGAGCGAGAGAGAGGGAGGGAGAAGGAAGGAGAGAGAGAGAGAGAAGAGAGAGAGGAGGAGAGAGAGGGGAGAGGATGGAGAGAGTGAGAGGAGAGGGAGAGGAGAAGGAGAGAGGAGAGAGAGAGAAGAGAGGGAGAGGGGAGAGAGAGAGAGAGAGAGGAGAGCGGAGAGAAGAAGGGAGAGAGGAGAGAGAGGAGAGATGAGGGAGGATGGAAGCGAGGAGATGAGAGAGAGGAGAGAGAGAGAGAGGAGAGAGGATGAGAGGAGAGAGAGAGAGAGAGAGGAGAGAGACGGAGAGAGGGGGGAGGAGACGAGAGGAGGAGAGAGAGGGGAGAGAGGGGAGGAGGGAGAGGAGAGGAGAGAGAGGAGAGAGAGGAAGAGAGAGATGAGAGGAGCGAGAGAGGAGAGGAGCGAGAGGGAGAGAGAGAGGAGGAGAGGAGAGAGAGAGAGGAGAGGAGAGGAGTGGACGAGAGGGGAGAGAGAGAGGAGAGGAAGAGGAGCGGAGAGGGAGTCGAGGAGGAGAGAGAGAGGAGAGGGAGGAGAGGGGAAGAGAGGGAGAGAGGAGAGGAGGAGGAGAGGAGAGGAGAGGAGGAGAGAGAGAGGGAGGAAGAGAGGAGGGAGAGGGAAGGGAGAGAGAGGAGAGAAGAGAGAGAGAGAGGAGAGAGAGAGAGAGAGGAGGAGACAGAAGAGAGTGCGAGAGAGAGAGGAATGTGAGTGAGAGAGAGGAGGGAAGGGGGAGGAGAGAATGAGAGGGAGGGAGAGGGAGAGAGAGAGAGAAGAGAGAGAGAGAGGAGAGAGGAGGAGATGGGAGAGGGGAGAGAGAGGAGAAGAGAGAGAGAGATATGCACTCTATTGGGCAGCATGTCCTAGTGGTTAAGGAGCGTTGGGCCAATGACCTAAAGGTTGCTGGTTCGATTTCCCGAGCCGGCAAGGTGGGAAAATATGCCGTTCTGCCCTTGAGCAAGGCAGTTAACCCCCAACAACAACTGCTCCCTGGGCGCCATGGACGTCGATTAAGGCAGCCCCCCGCACCTCTCTTGGGTTAAATGCGGAAGACACATTTCGGTTGAATGCATTCAGCTGTGCAACTGACTAGGTATCCCCTTTCCCTATTGACCTCCTTATCCCTACATAAGCAGAAACTCAAACTATAGCTGAATAAAACGAAAACAAATCGCAGGGCATGCAAATGGGAGATTTGCTTACCGAGAATTTGATACTGCCAGAGGTAGACTGAGACGGAAGAGCAAAGGAGCACCTGGTCATAGGTGCTGTTAGGTGAAACACATCACACAAAGGCTATGAAAATGCACACCAGAAATAGCCTGCTTCCATCTGATAGCAGTAATGAGCAGGCTAAATAAACATAGCCTACATACACATCATCAAGTCTTTCATCCTATTTACTTGTGGGGTATAGGGCAGGAGTTTATTTGATTTTACCTTGTTCCGTTTCCAGGCTTTTGCTTGCTGGAGTATATTATGGGGAATACATCTGCAATATACTGCTAATAATGTTAAACTTTATTGAAAAATACTTTTGGAAATAGTAGTATAGATCATGTTCTTGCCTTTGACAGTTTATCAGATCAGAGTTTTTCCTGGTCAGGTCCTGCATGACAGGCTGTGTTTGCACAGGCAGTCCAATTATGATCGTTTGCCCAATTCTTGGAAAAAGAGCTGATCTGATTGGTCAAAATACCAATTAGTGGAAAAGATCAGAATTGGGCTGCCTGTGTAAACGCAGCCATAGACCTTGTTTTGACCTCCATAATCTCTGCAACCCAGAACCAAATCTTGCGTGAGTGCCGGGCCAGCTACTCGATTAGGTTCCGGTAGGGAGAGGTTAAGATATTGGACTAGTGCGAGTGAGTGGTGAAAGCAGGATGGACTTTGGTAGCCGTCATAAGAGACTATGACCTCCACAACCCTGAAGCTATTACATTTGAATGATCTAAACTGTCAAAGGCAAGAATATGATCTATTCTTTTTTGTACATTTCCAGAAGTATTTTTCCCTCTCGATTAACATTATTAGCAGTATATTGCAGATGTATTCCCTCAGAAACACAAATTGAGAAAATACTCAAATGTAACTCTTATTGTGTCAATACCAATACAGTTAAGAGTGTTAAAGCCTAGATTAACTATAATGACTGGCATAGTGAACTCATAATGACTGGCACAGTGAACTCATAATATTGATGCAGTACACACATCAATTTGCACTTAATAATTTATAGTCTACAGTAGGCCTGTTAAAAACAAAAAAAAGAGGTTCAAAATAGATGCAAGTACATGTTTATTGAATGAAATAGGTCCGGGCCGGACTATGGGAGGAATCATCATGGATTGTAATGTTTTTTTTGTTTTTTTTTTTGGGGGGGGGGTATTGTCATGCCAGTTTCATCATCAGCCACGTCGTCTTGGTCCGCTTCCTTGGCCCTTTCAGCCAAGAGCTCCTTGGTGAGGGTGATGTCACTACTACCTCCTGGCTCCAAAATGGCCGTCAGAGCTCCAATCTTCAGCATGGTCATCTATGACGTGTGCGATGGTGTCTGCCATGCAACAGATGGCTCCCTCGCCACAATAGCGTGGGGGTATGGTTGGAATCATCAAATGGGTTGTGAGTAGGGGGGTTTGTCTCCCTCTTCTGTTGACTCTGGGTTTGTGGAGAGGAGGCAAGTGCACTGAAGTGCACTAAGTGGGTATACCCACACAACTACTTTTTGCCGCTTCTCTTTTTGCAGGGGAAGCAAAATAGTTTTGCCAGGGCAGCTGTAATCCTCAGGAGGAGAGATCGTTTTTTCCCCGGCTCATCAGCCACGGTTTCTGAACAGGTGACAGAGAACATGGCATGACATCAGTAGGACAAACCGTAAAAAAATTTTTTGCAATGGAAAACAAAAACACCTTTTTTTTTGTTCAAGGAAGTTCCTCCCTGTTACTTCCGTTTAATGAATAAGACCCTGATAACTTCATCATAGTCTCTTCCCCTAACATTACAATGTGGTGAAATAATAGAATTTTGTTGAAGACAAATAGACATGTGGACTGACAGAAGGGAGGACTTACCATCAGTGCCAAGGGGAGACACCTTGTTCTTCTTCAGGGTCTTCTTGCGACCTCGCTTCCCCTCTCCTGACTTCCTCACTCCTTCCTTCACAGCCTCATCCTTCACTGTCTTCTTAGTAGAGAGACAAAACAGATATGAGTTGGTGCCTCACAATCAAACAGCCCCAATAACTAAACAACATACTGGTTAATGATAGACTCCTTACCTGTGTGGAGGTGCTGTCCACAAGGTCTGCGGAGAGGGAGCTGCTGCTGGCCTTCTCCAAGCTAGCAGAGTCACATTTCTTGTTGTCGTCGATCGCAGCCACCTCCTCTTGGTCCTCTTCTAGGGTTTCCCCCTGGGCCAAGAGTTCCTCTGTGAGGGTGATGTCACTCTTTGAGGAGCTTGAGGAGGAGCGTGACCTCCCACTACCAAGGCTCCTCCTCGCTCCAAAATGGCCGTCAGAACTCCAGTCCTGGGCGTAGTCGCCTATGACGTGCGTGATGGTATCTGCCATGCAACAGACGGCTACCTCGCCACCATAGCGTGCGGCACGCAGTTGAGCCTGGTTGGAATCCAACCTTTTAGCCGCAGCCTTCACGATGGCCTTCATTGCATCTTCCCCCCTGAATTGTATGCTCTCCTCCAGGCTGAAGAGGACAGAGATGTCAGCATACTTCAGGGCATGCTGGACCTCCACAAAGAGATTCTTCATCAGCCTGAAGGGGTCGTTGGCCATCATGGCCAGGGGGAACTCTGAGGCCTCCAGTCGGCGCATGATGCCCTGGAGGATAAGCTTCAGGGTCTGGGGGCTCATGACGGTGTCCCTGGGAGTGCTGCGAAAGGAGATGTCCTCCTCGATGAGGATCTCACCCGGAAGGAGAGAGGGAATCTTCCCCAGGAGGCCCTGCCTGAACTCAGTGGGGGACAGGGAGCTGGTACTCACCTCAGAGACATCAGCTCCCCCGACCTCTTCTTCCAAGGTCTGGGCAGGAGCTGCCCATGCTGCCTGAGTGGTCGTCAGGAATCCCGCACCCATGGAGGTGCTGGGGACCACCTCATCTTCATCCAGACAGGGGTTGAACTCCAGGGTCTGTGCAGGAGCTGCCCGTGCTGCCTTGGTTGAGGTGGAGGGCTCTGGGTTTAAGACAGTCATGACACTCGTTACCAACTCCTCTTCTTCCTCTGATGAAGAAGGACACTGAGTGTAAGGGAACCTGTCCCTGGCACCAGAATCCAATCCTAAGAAAACACACTAATACTCTGAACTGATTCAAAGCCACATCTATGTATAGCACTATGCAGTATCTAGTACATTTACTATAATGATAATACACTGGTTATACACAGGTATTAACATGGTTATAACAGGGTTAATACTGGTCATATTGGTAAAACAGGTTATAAATGGACCTTTCTGGATGATGACACTGGCCCTGTAATTGTCGTTGCAGGTCCTGTTCAGCATCTTTTCCACCCAGGCGGTCAGGATCTGGCAGACGTCCTCTAGTCAAATCAACATTTATTTAAAATGTATATATAGATATATCATTATAATTTTTTATAGATGATTTTCTTCACAAAATTAGTGAACTAGGTCTTTATGACTCCTGTATGAGCGGAGAAAATGACTTGTCAGCAGAGCGGAGAAAAATACTCCCTCCCCCCATCGACAGCACCCCCACCCCAAAACATCTTGGTCACATTGTAAATGGCAATAACAATAATAACAAGGGAGCAAAAGGAGACAAGACTACATAATAACTAACCTAGTGCCCTCTTGTCTTGATCAGAGAGTGAGGTGGAGGCCTGGGGGGTCAGGATCAGGGAGCTGCCCCTCTCCTCCTCCCCAACCCCATGAGACAAGCTGGAGTCGCTGTCCCACAAATCCTCCTCGCTGGATGTGGGGGTGCTGGGAGGCTGGGTCTGCTCCATGTCCCATGTGCTGGTCTGCCAAATCTCCCCTGCCCTCTCCCTGAACAGGGCAAAGACATTGAGGGACCCCTCACTGAGGGCTTTATGGACATCCCTTCTCTTGGCCCTCCTCACTGACCCCAGTTCTCTCACACTGACACTGGAGTGGGGTGTGTCTCTCTGGAGATAAACCCTCTCCATCTCCACTGCCTGATGACAGAGGTCGAACCGTCTCGATCCCTGTGAGGACCCAGAGCTTCTGTTGGAGCAGGACACACTTGGATGTTCCAGAGATAGTGGCTGAGCATCCACACACTCTACCAGCTCTGGCATGTTGGACCGGCTCGATCCCTGTGATGACCCAGAGCAGCTGGAGAGCCTCTCATCGGTCAGAGCGATGCCTGGATTGGTGGTCTCCAGGTCATTCATACCAGAGGAGAAGAGGTCCTCCTGGGCATTTCTCAGGATATTACTCACAACCATGTCTGCTGTACCCTGAAGCTCCTTGTCTGTCTCAGAATTGGGCGTGGGGGGCTTCCCGCCCCTGAGCCTCCCCTTTGGCTCAGAGCTTCGCCGGTGGAACGTCTCCGAGACGATCTTCAGCACCCCTGAACCCCGGAAGGAGCAGTTGGATGATTCTGGACTGGAGATCCTGAGCAGAGCTATCGCTGGCAGGAGGAACGCATAGGACATGTCCTCCAGGTCCTCTATGGGTCACATTCTTAGAAAGAAATACGGAAAACAACCATTTTTAAATGAACAGCATTTCCTCTTAGTCTTTAAGTTACACGTTTTTGTTGTTGTTAGCATGATTAGTCGGTAAAGAAGTATAAATGGGGTAAAGAAGAAAAAATGGGGGACTTACCATTTGTTTGAGGAACTTCCTGATGCGCTTTCTCTGACTGGAAAACAAACAAACACCAGGAATCATTGGTTAGTAGACTGGCAACTAGATTCAATTTTTTCTACTGCACATAACACGGTTTCAGAGCAGAACTCACGGGTGAGAGTTCAGGAAGTCCTCTAGAGAAGACGCCTCCTCTACGTTCTCAGGTGTCATCTCACGGGGTGTGTCCGCCAGAGAAGTGGCATCGGAGGTGACATCACTCTCTGGGGTCTCTGGGGTAAGGGGGTCATCAACAGATGGAGAGGAGTTCATTCTCACCTCATCCTCAGGTGTCATGGGGCCTGGTGGCACTGAAAAGAGAAGAGAATCAGAATTAACCGCTGAACAAGCTCGTAACCATGGCAACGATTCTATTGAATAACCACTGTGTCACCAACACCCACCTGTTGTCTCCACCTTCGTCACTTTAGTGTTCTTGATAGCTGGCAGGACACCTAAAGAAAGAGGAGAGTCGAGCCATTAGTTGATCCTTCCACCATATATCCTTTAAGAATTCTATCAATAAACCAAGTATTTTGGAAGTGGTGATCAATACTCACTTTAAACTGGTTGTTGGAGATAGAAGAGGTTGGAGGCAGCGCCAACACACCAACTACTTGGTGGCTTGGTTTGTTTCGCCGCTGCCTTGGACTCTCTGTCCTTTCTGGACTCCACGGCCTCTCTGGCGTTCTTTTCGGCCTTGGCCATCTTGGCCTGACCGCTCAGCCTGGGGCCTCGTGGGGGCTTCGGCACGAAGTTCTGAGATAAACAACAATATTAGCAAAATCGTTTTACATTTTAGTCATTTAGCAGACGCTCTTATCCAGAGCGACTTACAGTTAGTGAATACATATTTTTTTTATACTGGCCCCCCGTGGGAATGGAACCCACAACCCTGGCATTGCAAACACCATGCTCTATCAACTGAGCTACATCCCTGCCGGCCATTCCCTCCCTTACCCTGGACGACGCTGGGCCAATTGTGCGCCGCCCATGAGTCTCCCGGTCGCGGCCGGCTGCGACAGAGCCTGGATTCGAACCAGGATCTAGTGGCACAGTCTTAGACCACAGCGCCACTCAGGAGATGGTCTGTGACATGACGGTACTGAGTGACATGTCACATAAGGGCTAACTTTAGAATAAGAATCAGAATGAAGGTATGAGTTACATAAACTAGTACGTGGGGAAAAAAAGTATTTAGTCAGCCACCATTGTGCAACGTTCTCCCACTAAAAAGATGAGAGAGGCCTGTTTAATTTTCATCAAGAGGTACACGTCAACATAGGACAGACCAACAAGAGGAAAAAAAATCCTGAAAATCACATTGTAGGATTTCTTATGAATTATTTGCAAATTATGGTGGGAAAATAAGTATTTGAGTCAATAACCAAAAAGTTTTCTCATACTTTGTATATACCATTTGTTGCAATGGACACAGGGTCAAACCGTGTTCGTGTAAGTATTCACCAGGTTTTCGACACATTGTGCTGGGTATTTGGCCCCCCATTTCCGCCAGTGCAGATCTCCTCTAGAGAAAGTGATGTTTTTGGGGCTGTCGCAGGGCAACACGAACTTTCAACTCCCTCCAAATATTTTCTCTGGGGTGAGAGAGGTTTGAGATCTGGAGACTGGCTATAGGACATCCAGGACCTGAAATGAAATGAACGACGAGCCATCCTCCGTTGCGCAGTCAATTAAAGAAAAGAGGCCGGGCCACGGTGTGTTGTTTGGGATACATTGATAACTGCCGGATAAAGACCAGCCACGTTTCATCTTCAATGCCGTTGCGATGGAAGGAGGTCCCACCCGGTCTGGCGTTGTTCCACACACTATGAATTGCTCACGAAACATAGCCACCATGCATTCTTGCCTTTACACGGATCAGAGCTACGTCAACAACTGGTCCCTTTGCAGAAAAACCGCCCCAAGCAGATGTTTCCACCCCTCAATGAGTCACCAGGTAAGGATGGTGTCTGTGGATGCAACTCAGCATTCTTGTCCTCCAACACGGACGCGTTGAGTTTTTACCAAAAAGTTTATATTTGGTTATGCTGACTAGATGACATTCTCCCAATCCTTTATGGATCATCCCAACAATGCACTCTAGCGATGCCTGATTGGTGGTCTCCAGGTCATTCATACCAATAGAAGAGGTCCTCCTGGGCATTCTCAGGATATTACTCACAACCATGTCTGCTGTACCCTGAAGCTCCTTGTTCGTTCAGAATTGGGCGTGGGGGGCTTCCCCGCCCTGAGCCTCCCCTTTGGCTCAGAGCTTCGCCGGTGGAACGTCTCCGAGACGATCTTCAGCACCCCTGAACCCCGGAAGGAGCAGTTGGATGATTCTGGACTGGAGATCCTGAGCAGAGCTATCGCTGGCAGGAGGAACGCATAGGACATGTCCTCCAGGTCCTCTATGGTCACATTCTTAGAAAGAAATACGGAAAACACCATTTTTAAATGACAGCATTTCCTCTTAGTCTTTAAGTTACACGTTTTTTGTTGTTGTTAGCATGATTAGTCGGTAAAGAAGTATAAATGGGGGTAAAGAAGAAGAAAAATGGGGGGGGCTTACCATTTGTTTGAGGAACTTCCTGATGCGCTTTTCTCTGACTGGAAAACAAACAAACCCAGGAATCATTGGTTAGTAGACTGGCAACTAGATTCAATTGTTTTCTACTGCACATAACACGGTTCAGAGCAGAACTCACGGGTGAGAGTTCAGGAAGTCCTCTAGAGAAGACGCCTCCTCTACGTTACTCAGGTGTCATCTCACGGGGTTGTGTCCGCCAGAGAAGTGGCACGGAGGTGACATCACTCTCTGGGGTCTCTGGGGTAAGGGGGTCATCAACAGATGAGAGGAGTTCATTCTCACCTCATCCTCAGGTGTCATGGGGCCTGGGTGGCACTGAAAGAGAAGAGAATCAGAATTAACCGCTGAACAAGCTCGTAACCATGGCAACGATTCTATTGAATAACCACTGTGTCACCAACACCCACCTGTTGTCTCCACCCTTCGTCCACTTTTAGTGTTCTTGATAGCTGGCAGGACACCTAAAGAAAGAGGAGAGTCGAGCCATTAGTTGATCCTTCCACCATATATCCTTTAAGAATTCTATCAATTAAATCCAAGTATTTTGGAAGTGGTGATCAATACTCACTGTAACTGGTTGTTGGAGATAGAAGAGGTGGAGGCAGCGCCAACACACCAACTACTTGGTGGCTTGGTTTTTTTTTTCGCCGCTGCCTTGGACTCTCTGTCCTTTCTGGACTCCACGGGCCTCTCTGGCGTTCTTTTCGGCCTTGGCCATCTTGGCCTGACCGCTCAGCCTGGGGCCTCGTGGGGGCTTCGGCACAAAGTTCTGAGATAAACAACAATATTAGCAATCGTTTTTTACTTTTAGTCATTTAGCAGACGCTCTTATCCAGAGCGACTTAACAGTTAGTGAATACAGATTTTTTTTATACTGGCCCCCCGTGGGAATGGAACCCACAACCCTGGCATTGCAAACACCATGCTCTATCAACTGAGCTCATCCCTGCCCATCCCTCCCTACCCTGACGACGCGGGCCATGTGCGCCGCCATGATCTCCGTCGCGGCCTGCGCAGGCCGGATCGAACAGGATCTAGTGGCACAGTCTTAGACCACAGCGCCACTCAGGAGATGGTCTGTGACAGACGGTACTGAGTGACATGTCACATAAGGCACTTAGAATAGAATCAGAATTTGAATGCTTTTCCCTGGGTATTCGCGGGCCCCGGTTTTTTGGCC